AGACAACCCCGTAACAATATGCGTTTTGTACTGCTGTTACACAGCACAAAACGCATAAAAATGGGAGGATGACACACGGGGTAGGAATATATATCCGAAGTTTCAGCCCCCCAGCTTTCCTGGTTGTCGAGTTGAAAGTGGGTGACAAAATGCAGTTTCTGAACACACATACACACAAATCCTCGACAATATGCGCCTTTGCTGGCCGTAGCAGCGCTACAGTGCGCACACACACACACACACACACACACACACACAGCCTCTCGACAATATGCGTTTTTGCTGGCGGAAGTTTCAGCCCCCCAGCTTTCCTGGTTGTCGAGTTGAAAGTGGGTGACAAAATGCACTCGCTTTGTGAACACACACACACACACACAGACAGCCTCTCGACAATATGCGTTTTTGCTGGCTGTAGCAGCGCCGCACACACACACACACACACACACACACACACACACACACACACACCGCCTCTCGACAATATGCGTGAGCCCCCCAGCTTTCCTGGTTGCCGAGTTGAAAGTGGGTGACAAAATGCACTCGCATTGCGAACACTACACACACACACGCACACACACACAGACAGCCTCTCGACAATATGCGTTTTCGCTATAGCGCTGCTATAGCGCTGCACAGCAAAAACGCATAAAAACACAGACAGCCTCTCGACAATACGCGTTTTTGCTGGCTGCAGCAGCGCTATAGCGCTGCTATAACGCTGCACAGCAAAAACGCATAAAAATCGTTATTAAATCGCCAAAAATTGCACTAACGTCATTAGCAAAACAGAGCAAAGACTGGTTTGTTTTTCAAATTAATAGTTTCAATAATTTGAAAAAATCATCCATCAAAATTTACAGCCACTTGTTCTTTTGGCTTTTCAATTACAAAATAATTAGCCCAAATTTGCACTGAGTTCAATAGATTAAGACGAAGTGAGCATTTTTCAAATCCAATTCCTCCCAATCTCAGCTTCGTGGCTTCAATAACTTTACTATATGTGCATATGCAAATATGCACATAAACATATAGATGATGCCAGTGCAGGAGTTTCTGAGTTATACAAAAACGTGCGGTGGGCTTACATAAACAGTTGATGAGTCCATTCCGTAAAATCGCAGCGGATAAGCGATGGTGATCTTTTTGGCGGCATCGAGGCTTGGAGGCAGCTCCTCATCGCCAGCATCCGTCCCGTACTCGAACAGTCTGCTGGAAAACAACGGCGCTGTAATCTGAAACAGCGCACAGCTACAGCAAACATTTCGATTCGATTCTTTTGCGAAATGCAGCAAACCAGCACAAAATTCATGCCCATGCGCATTCGGTGCTTTTTTTGAAAGAGGAAAAATACGAGAATTAATGGTTGATTGTGTTTTCTCTATTGTTTCCAGAATTTGGTCATGATGAGAGCTTGCGGTGAATCGGCAGACGGAAGTGGACAGAGGCACGTACGGCGAATGAGCAAAACAAAATTTATTTCTGACATTACACATTTATTACAGGTAAATGTGCTTCCTCCCACGACCCTCGCGTGCACGAAAAAAGACAACAAAATACAATTAAATTGCAGAAAAAAAAAACACTGATTATTGATTACTGTGATCCAAGCTAAGTAAAATGCATAGTAATTACTGTGTCTTTG